CAGTAAATTCACTGTTTGATTTTACAGCAGTAAATTCAGTAAATTTTACAGCTGCAGCTCTGACAGCCCAACAGCAGCAGCTCTGCCCCGTGTCAAAACTTCTCTCTCAGCTCGGGGAAGGAAAATCTGAGATATGGGGTGAGAGTGGGGTTTTGCCCGCTGAGAAATCCCATTTTGCCTTTTCCGGGTATTTTCCTGCCAGGCTGGGGATGGACAGGTCAGGGCACCTGGCTCTGTGTGCTGCAGAGCCTGGAATTTATGGGAATGGGAAATGTGGGGTTTGGGGTTTTTTGGGAGCTCCAGAGATGTGTTATAGATGGGATGGGGAAATGTGAAGTTTGGGGTTTTATGGGAACTCCAGAGATGTGTTATAGATGGGACAGGGAATTGTGGGGTTTGGGGTTTTGGGGAGCTCCAGAGCTGTGTTATTGATAGGGAACCTGGCTCCGTGTGCTGCAGAGCCTGGCATTCATGGGACAGGGAAATGTCGGGTTTGGGGTTTTTATGGGAGGTCCAGAGCTGTGTTATAGGTTCACAGTTCAGCAAATTGTGGGGTTTGGGGTTTTTGGGGGATCTCCAGAGATGTGTTATTGATAGGGAACCTGGCTCTGTGTGCTGCAGAGCCTGGAATTCATGGGGCAGGGAAATGTGGGGTTTGGGGTTTTTTGGGAGCTCCAGAGCTGTGTTATAGATGGGACAGGGAAATGTGGGGTTTGGGGTTCCAGAGCTGCGTTATAGGTTCACAGTTCAGGGAATTGTGGGGTTTGGGGTTTTTGTGGCAGCTCCAGAGCCTGGCATTCACAGCTCAGGGGAATGTGGGGCTTGGGGTTTTAGGGAGCTCCAGGGCGGTGTTATAGACAGGTCAGTGAATTGTGGGGTTTGGGGTTTGGGGGATCTCCAGCACTGTGTTATTGATAGGGACCCTGGCTCCATGTGCTCCAAGGCCTGGAATTCATGGGACAGGGAATGTGGGGTTTGGGGTTTTTGTGGCAGCTCCAGAGCCTGGCATTCACTGTTCAGGGAAATGTGGGGTTTTGGGGTTTTGGGAGGAGCTCCAGAGCTGTGTTATAGATGGGACAGGGAATTGTGGGGTTTGGGGTTTTTATAGGAGCTCCAGGGTGGCTGCCTCTTCTGCAACAGAGAAAATCCCCCCGCCCCAGATCTTACGGTGTTCCTTACCAGTGTTGTGAAAAAGTAGTGGTAGTACTCTGTCATCATTCCCATGGAGAGAATCTGTGGGGAGAGAAGGAAAGGTGAACGATCTTCACTCAGAAATCTTCCAGAGTTCTGCAGGAAATGCAGGGGTTAAACGCTTTTTGGGGCAGGAGAGCTCSATCCCAATAAACTCCACACTTTTCTGGGGAGCCAGAACAAATCCTGTTGTATTCAAATGGCGTTTTTATCACCTCTGCTCAGGACAGAGATTACCGATCACAAAACTTCCGGGACAAGAAAAATACCGGGGATAAGGAGAGGCTGATTGTTAAAATCCTTTATTCTGCAGCTGGAAGTGTTGGAAAGGAATTCACCCGTTCTGCTGCCAGGGGCAAACARGACACGGGAAGGAGGAAAACACAAAGAAAGAACTCTCTCTAAATGCCTTTTTTACCCCTGGGGGATGTGGCTGAGCAGGAGGGTGTCAGAACAGTTGGGATGACAGGAATTTTGGGCTGGGGTGACCTTCTGGAGGTCACGGATGTGGACACTGACAGAAAAGAGATTTTCCTCCCCAGCCCTCGCACTCTTGGCCAAAATTCCCTTTCCTGGCAGAAGACACTGAAAATCGGTTGAGTGATTGTGTATGG